CAGCAGCAAGAAGAGGGGCTCCTAAGAGAAATGCTGCTCCAGTTTCCATTGGGCAGTACCCCAGAGGCAGTAGAAGAGCTGATGTTATTCTTGACCCTGATGAAGAGACCTCTACCTCTCATTTGCAAGAATTAAGTGGCAGACGCTCCAGCCAGGACTAGAGGGGCCCTGCCTCTGGCCAGGTAGAGGAAAGGGATAACCGGATTTATTGGACTGTGTGGATCCAATGGCCTGGCACATCAGAACCACAAGAATACAAAGCTTTAGTGGACACTGGCGCACAATGTACCTTAATGCCGTCAGGCTACCAAGGGACAGAACTCACCTGTATCTCTGGAGTGACAGGGGGATCCCAACAACTATCTGTACTGGAAGCTGAAGTGAGTCTAACTGGGAATGAGTGGCAAAAGCATCCCATTGTGACTGGCCCAGAGGCTCTACGTATCCTTGGCATAGACTATCTCAAGAGAGGGTACTTCAAGGATCCAAAAGGATACCGGTGGGCTTTTGGCATAGCTGCTTTGAGCACAGAGAAGATTAGGCAGCTGTCTACCCTGCCTGGCCTTTCAGAAGACCCTTCTGTTGTAGGATTGCTGAAGGTTGAAGAACAACAGGTACCAATTGCTACTACAACGGTGCACCGACGGCAATATCGCACCAACCGAGACTCCCTGATTCCCATCCATGAGTTGATTCACCGACTGGAGAGTCAGGGAGTAATCAGCAAGACTTGCTCACCATTTAATAGTCCTATATGGCCAGTACGAAAGTCTAATGGCGAGTGGAGGCTAACAGTGGACTATCGAGGCCTGAATGAAGTCATGCCACCACAGAGTGCTGCAGTGCCGGACATGCTAGAACTTCAGTACGAACTAGAGTCAAAGGCAGCCAAGTGGTATGCCACAATTGATATTGCTAATGCATTTTTCTCCATCCCTTTAGCAGCAGAATGCAGGCCGCAGTTTGCTTTCACTTGAAGGGGCATCCAATACACCTGGAATCGGCTGCCCCAGGGGTGGAAACACAGCCCTACCATTTGCCATGGACTGATCCAGTCTGCACTGGAGCAAGGGGGAGCCCCTGAGCACCTTCAGTACATTGACGACATCCTCGTGTGGGGCAACACAGCAGATGAAGTTATTGAGAAAGGGAAGAAAATAATCCAAATTCTCCTGAAAGCTGGTTTTGCCATTAAACAGAGCAAGGTCAAGGGGCCTGCACAGGAAATCCAGTTCTTGGGGGTAAAATGGCAGGATGGACGTCACCATATTCCAATGGATGTGATCAATAAAATAACAGCAATGTCTCTGCCAACTAGCAAAAAAGAAACACAAGCTTTCCTAGGCCTCGTGGGATTCTGGAGAATGCATGTGCCAGGCTATAGTCAGCTTGTGAATCCTCTATATCAAGCGACTCGAAAGAGAAACTATTTTGAGTGGGGCCCTGAGCAACAACAGGCATTTGAACAAATCAAACAAGAAATAGCTCATGCAGTAGCCCTTGGGCCTGTCCGTACTGGACCAGCTGTGCAAAATATACTGTAGCTGGGGAGCATGGCCTCACCTGGAGCCTTTGGCAGAAAACCCCAGAAGAAACTCGAGGTCGACCTCTGGGCTTCTGGAGTCGGGGCTATCGAGGATCAGAAGCCAATTACACCCCAACTGAAAAAGAAATACTCACAGCATATGAGGGTGTTCGAGCTGCTTCAGAAGTTGTGGGTACAGAGGCACAGCTCCTCTTGGCACCGCGGCTACCTGTGTTACATTGGATGTTCAAAGAGAAAATTCCCACTACACACCATGCAACTGATGCTACATGGAGTAAGTGGATAGCGCTAATTACACAGCGGGCTCGAATGGGAAAACCCAATCGCCCAGGAATCCTGGAAGAGATTATGGACTGGCCGGAAGGCAGAGATTTCGGAGTGCCAACAGAAGAGGTAACCCGTGCTGAAGAGGCACCACCATACAATGAGTTGCCAGAAGACAGAAAGCAGTATGCGTTGTTTACTGACGGATACTGCCGTGTGATAGGGAGCCATTGGAAATGGAAAGCTGCTGTGTGGAATCCCATGCGACGAGTTGTGGAGGCCATGGAAGGGGAAGGTGAGTCGAGTCAGTATGCAGAAGTAAAAGCCATACAACTAGCCCTAGATATCGCTGAAAGAGAAAATTGCCCAGTGTTGTATCTTTATACTGACTCATGGATGGTGGCAAATGCTCTGTGGGGGTGGCTGCAGCAATGGAAAGAGAGCAACTGGCAGTGCAGAGGTAAACCTATCTGGGCTGCTACCCTGTGGCAAGATATTGCTGCCTGGGTAGAAAACCTGGATGTTAAAGTACGTCATGTAGATGCCCACATGCCCAAGAGTCGCGCTACTGTAGAACATCGGAACAACAAAGAAGTGGATCGAGCTTTGAAAATTGAAGTGGCTCAGGTGGACCTAGACTGGGAACGTAAGGGTGAGCTGTTTGTAGCTCGATGGGCCCATGAAACATCAGGACATCTGGGGAGGGATGCCACTTACAGATGGGCTCGTGATCGAGGGGTGGACTTGACCATTGAGGCCATCACACAGGTTACCCATGAGTGTGAGACTTGTGCTGCAATCAAGAAAGCCATGAAGGTAAAATCTCCCTGGAACAGGGGGAGATGGCTAGGGTTTCAATATGGTGAGGCCTGGCAAATTGACTATATCGGACCACTTCCAAAAACCCGCCAAGGCAAACGGTACATACTCACCATGGTAGAAGCAACTACTGGGTGGCTGGAAACATACCCTGTAAACCATGCCATGGCCCGAAACACTATCTTGGGCCTGGAAAGACAAGTATTGTGGCATCACGGTACACCAGAGAGAATTGAGTCTGACAATGGGAGTCATTTCCGAAACAATCTTGTTACCTCCTGGGCAAAGAGGCATGGTATTGAGTGGGTGTACCACATCCCTTATCACCCACAAGCCTCTGGGAAGGTTGAGAGGTACAATGGACTGTTAAAGACTATGTTACGAGCATTAGGTGCTGGGACGTGGAAACAATGGGATACAAATCTACCAGAAGCCACTTGGCTAGTTAACAATAGGGGGTCTGACAGACGTGCTGGTCCTGCCGAAACAAAACCCCTACACACTGTGAAAGGAGCTAAAGTTCCTGTAGCGCATGTAGGAAGGTGGATGGGGAAGGCAGTGTGGGTGGCTCCTGCCTCGGGAAAAGGCAAACCCACTCGTGGGATTGTCTTCGCCCAAGGACCAGGGTATACCTGGTGGGTCATGCAAAAGAATGGGGATATTAAGTGTGTGCCTCAAGGAGATTTGACATTGAGAGAAAACTAATCTGTAATCTAAGTTATATGTTGTAGGAAGATGCTGCAGGATCAACGACAGGTCAACGTTGCAAGGAGCCGGGCAGTGCAACAAGGACTTGAGCTAAGCTGGTGCTCGTGTCCAGACATCCAACTCCACCTGCCTTGAGTGGCCACTTTGGCAGATGAAGACCTAATCATCAACAGTTCTTATGAACGTTTTCCAAGAAAGACCTATGGAATGAGAAGATACACCTGCCTATTAATCCTGTCCTGTTAAATCCTTGTCCTGTTAAAGGACAAGGAATAATGATGAGAATGCTTGTATGCTAAAGTATGGGGATCTGAGTGTGACACAAATGTTATGGAATAAGGGGTGGAGGTTGTACTGGGTCTGGCTGGAATGTTAACTTTCCCAGCAGCAGCCCATACAGTGCCGTACTCTGTACTTGTAGCTGGAACAGCAGTGTTATCACACCAGTGTTGTGTCTACTGCTGAGCAGCAGTGGCACAGTATTGGGCCTTTCTCTAACCCTCCTAGGGGGTGGGCAAAAAGCGAGGAGAGAAACATCACTAGGGCAGCTGACCTAAACCAATCAAAGGGATATTCCATACCATGTGATGTCACACTCAGCAATAAAAGGTGGAAACAGGAAGAAGAAGGGAGGGGTGGGCTCTCGTTGAGAAGATGTCGGTCCTCCTCTCGAACACTGGCTGCATGCGTTGAGGCCTTGCTTCAAGGACGTGGTCAATCATCGCTCATTTGTGGGAAGTAGAGAGTAATTTCTTTCCTCTGCACTTCCATATAGCTTTCATTTATTTTGTTTGTTTGTTTTCCTCCCTTCTTTTTATTTTCCCTTTTCCCCTCCCTTTCGCCTTTCCCTTTTTATTTCTCCTTAGTTAAATTGTTTAGTTCATGGTAGTCTTTATTTAATTATTATAATGATTTCCCTTTAATTAAATTATCCTTATCTCAACCCGTGAGTTGTTCTTTGCTTTACTTCTCCCCCTCCTCATCTAAAGGAGGGGGAGTGAGAGAGCAGTTGTGGGGTTTAGCTGCCCAGCACGGTAAAACCACCACAACAATTAATGTTTGCAATTTATGAAAGGAATAGAGGTAAGCAAACAGCACTGGGTGCGCCGGGAGTCTCTGCTCCACCAAGATGCACACCAGTTACATCCGGCGGCTGGTTTTTATTCTCCTAGGCTAATACATTTTCATCAACACTTTTGGAAAAGGCAGGGATATTATAATTAGTTTCCTGGGACCTGAACCATCCCATGGATGTATGGGTATCCGTCTCTGGTGGTCCCTCGTACTGAAGGTTGCTTGTACTGAAGGCTTGTAGTCTTCCTCCCAGGCTTTGTCCTTCAGTCGTTCTTCAGCCCCCCCCCCCTCTCCATTTAGTAGTTGCTGGGCCAGATGTCAGAAAGCTGTGTCTCGTGCAATAGTCAGCAGTTATCTCAAAAAACTCCCCCCATTCTCTTATCTCCCAGACCCGAGTCTCAAGGTTTACCCTTCAAACCCTCTATCGACATGAACTGCTAGACCGTTCTTTTGCAAGATACAAGAACTATATACACTAACCACTCTCTTTCTCTTGGCCTTGTAGTTATTTATAGAAGGGGATGTAAGACAGAAGGTCACATTTCATTATGAGGCCCTAGCGTTGTTCCATAATGACACGAATCAGATAAACATATTTCACAAAATTTTATTTTATTTTCATTAACATTTTGGAAGCCACACAAATTTTATTTTCCAAGCCAATCACACAGCGTTTCCACCCTGATTGAAGACAAGCCCTCGCGTTACTTCTGCCCTCAGTTCCCAGCCAAGCACAGAGTGTCCCCACAGGCACTGCATAGCAAACACACAAAGTAACATTGACATCCTATCCGTAAACATGCTATAACAGTTACTCACCTGATAAAGAACTGCATGCAATAAAGGCACCAAGTCCTAGTTAGAATTATTTTATTCTAACAGATCCTATTAGTTGTTACCTCAAAAAGATGTGCATACCCCTCGCTACTTGGAAATGCATCAGTCCATAGACTATGATCCACCTAAAGAACCCCGAAACTGACTGAAGGAAAAACAAACACCCCAAAGAGCAGCCCAAGCAGAGGGAGCTCTCTGAGGGGATGCCTGGGGCTCATATACCATTTGGCCCTGCCCAGCACCCAAACCCAATCACCTGGGAAAGGGGAGGGGCAAAGCACAAGGAAGTAGGAAGAGAGCAGCAGCAGCAGCTGTGGTGTTTTGTGTGTGTGTGTGTGTGTGTGTGTGTGTGATTTTTCTTTTCTTTTCTTTTTTTTTTTTTAATCTGTTTTAGCTCAACAGCATGCATAGTGCAGACAAGAGAACTGGGGTGTTTCTAGAAGCAACAATCCCCATGCTTTTGCTGCAGCTTATAATATTGAAAGGACAATATGACCAAGCAAATAATTGGAACTCTTCCAAATGGAGTTAGCTCAAACTTTTATTTATGTATAAAGAGAAAACTAGGAGTAGAACATCTGCTCCATGAGTTCCTTTCTCACCTTGCCATAGGCAGCTCTGGCTGTGATGTCCCAGATTGCATACCGCGTTTCAGCTTTAACAAATGAAAACCTTTACCCTAACCCAAACCCTAACCCTTACCTTACCCTTATCCTAACATTAACCCTAACCCTTACCCTTACCCTAACCGTTAACCTTACCCTTAGCCTTACCCTAACACTTACCCTTGTCCTAACCCTTACCCTAAACCTTACTGTAACCCTAACCCAAACCCTAACCCTAATACTCTCACCCTTACCCTTACCCTAACCCTAACCCCAACCCCAACCCTTAACCCGAACCCAAACCCTAACCCTAATACTCTCACCCTAACCCTTACTCTAACCCCTAAACCTACCCCTAACCTATCCCTAACCCTAACCCTCTAACCCTAACATCAACCCCTAACCCTAAACCCTAACCCTAGCCCCTAACCCTAACCCTGGTTCCCGAGAACTACATCTCCCGGTATGCTCTTGGGCACTCAACATGGCCTCCCGGAAGTCCGGAATCCGACAACTACATTTCCCGGCATACTCTGGGCACTCAACATGGCCTCCCGGAAGTCTGGAGACCTGAGAATTACATCTCCCGGCATGCTCTGGGCACACAACATGGCCTCCTGGTGCTGGAAAACTACACCTACCAGCATTCCCCAGACAGCCGGCATGGCCAACCACAGGCCAAGTTTTCGAGAACTACATTTACCAGCACTCACTGTAACCCTAGCCCTTACCGCCCTTACAAAAAAGCCTCAAGCCCTAACCCTAAAAAAACCTCGAAACACCTACAGACCTAACCCAAACTATTTACCACACTAAACCCCTGAAGACCTATGCCTAAAATCCCTAACCCAAAATCTTAGAACACTCAAAACCCAAACCCAGAAATTAAGACGCTCAAAACCCAAACCCAACCCAAAACATTAGGACGCTCAAAGCCCTAATGCAAAACATTAGGACGCTCCAAACCCTTTCCCGAAAATTTAGGACACTCAAAACCCTAACCCAAAAACATTAGGACGCTCCAAACCCTAACCAAAAAAAAACATTAGGAGGCTCAAAACCCTATCCTGAAAACTTAGGATGCTCAAAACCCTATCCCGAAAACTTCAGATGCTCAAAACCCAAACCCAAAACATTAAGATGCTCCAAACCCTATCCCGAAAACTTAGGACGCTCCAAACCCTATCCCAAAAACTTAGGATGCTAAAAGCCCTATCCTGAAAACATTAAGATGCTCAAAACCCTTTCCCAAAAACTTAGGACGCTCAAAACCCAAACCCAAAAAATTAAGATGCTCAAAACACAAACCCCCAAAATTAGGATACTCAAAACCCTAGCCCTGGAGAACCTAACCTGAAAAAAAAAAAAAAAAAAATTAAGATCTTAAAAACCTAACCGTAAATAACTGACCAAAAATAAAACCCTAAGACCCTAACCCTAAAAAACATATCAACACTACAACCCAAAAAACTCTAAAACCCTAACACGCTAACCCTGAAACCCTTAAAACCCTAACCCCCAAATCTTTAAAATCCTAACCATTAAAACTCCAACCCTAAAATCCTTAAAATCCTAAACATAAACCCTGAAACCCCTTACCCTGAAACCCAACCCTAGTGCCCAATCCCTGAAACCTTAAAACCGTGAATCACTCTGTAGCCAATAACATAGGCTGAGTCGAGGATCTCAGTACAGTAGCATTATTATTCGAGATTACAATGGCGGGCGTCCCGCAAGCAGGAGGGTGCCTACTAATTCCATACACAGTTTATACACTTTTTTTTTCTGCCAAGGACCGGGACCCTCCCCTGTTTCCCCATTCACTGTGCTATTCAAGGTTCATAATCTAGCTGGTGCTTTACAGAAAATACACAGCTGCTGGCCTGTTACAAGTCACATTTCTTTTGAGGTTTTTACTCTTTGAGGTGGTAATGTTTCTTACGCCGTGATTTCCACCTAATTGCTGTAAGGATTCTGGTTGTCTGCATTTTACAAGGTTGTCAGTTATAATAAATGACTAAATCCCAAATAGGATTACAATCAAAGTTTACAACTTATTAAATGAATAGAGGTAAGCAAACAGCGCTTACCTCCCTTAAGAGATATAGAGAAGCTCTCTCAGATATGGCAGTCCTACTTCTCGTGTATGCAGCCGGAGGTCAGCCTAATTCTGGTGCTGTTGGTGGTGGAAGCAGGGACTATGGTGGTATTGCTGGAGATACCACAGCCACCGGAGGGGGAGCTGCCGGGGCTGGATTGTTAGGATATGGAGGTGGTAGATTATCCAACTGCTCCCGTTTATCATCTTTTTCTTTTTCCTGTTCTTCTTCTTCTTCAAATTTCTTATCTGCTTTTAGTGTAAATATTGAGGCTGGAAAAGGACATGAAGTCCTCCTGATCCATAATCCTGCATAATCACTTTCTTCCTGGCTAAAAGGTTCCTTTGAATTAACATGGATATTTAAGGCCCAGCAAATCTAGTCTTCAAAGGATCCAAAAACAGGCTGAAAGACATGTGGTCTTAAAGGCTTCTTTGGCCATTCTATCATACAATACTGGACCATTTTCAATTTACTTTTTCCTTTTCTGGGGCCCCTATCATTCCAATTTCTAATCGTTATTCCTAATGGACTTTCTGGTGGTATGTCTGGTAATTTGCTCCATTTCTTTTGGTCCCTGGTCTTCGATTTTGTCTGACCCATCTAGAAATTTTACTATGGCAATTCCCACAGCCCTTAGTTACCTCTAGTAAGAGTGTCTTGCAGGGGGTTTAGGATCTATCACCCACCCACAAATCCCATAGGAATCGCTTCGGTCCTTCACCGGCCAAGTCCCTCACGGGAGATTGGAACCGCAGTTAGAAGACCTCCACAATCGCTTTGGAACGAAGTTCCATCTCAGTCACACTCTTGCACACACAGGCAACCGAATCCCACCCAACTGAATGGTATACACTTTAAATGCTTACGACTCCATCGTCTTTGTTCGGATCTTCACACACAGAATTACGGGCAAAATATAGTGCTGCAGCTGGCAAGGGAGCTGAAAAAAAATATCAAAACCTTTGCTTACCTTTATTCAGGTTCAAGATGCCATTAGTCCTGACCTGACTCGAACAGCAGCCACCAAAAGGTGGAGCACCTCTCCTGGATGAAATCAGAATTCAGGAACCAAAGCCCTCCCAGACAAGCCCACAATTGTAATAAATGACTGGGTCCCAAATAGGATTGCAATTGAAGTTTATAATTTATTAAATGAATAGAGGTAAGCAAGCAGTGCTGGGTGCGCCGCGAGTCTCTGCTCCACCAAGACGCACACAAGTTACATGAGGCTCCAGGTTTTTATGCTCCTAGGCTAATACATATTCGTTACTACTTCTAGAAAAGGCAGGGTTATTATAATTAGTTCCTGGAATCCGAACCCTCCCACTGGTGCATGCGTTATCAGTCTCCAGTGGTCCCTCTGGGGGTCTCTCATGCTGAAAGCTCGTAGTCTTCCTCCCAGGCTTTTCCCTTGTCCTTCTCCTTTGTCCATCTTTGCTGGATGTCAGAGACTTGCATAGTGTCCCATGCAGCAGTTGTAATAGTTAGCAGTTATTCTGAAACCCCTTTGTTCTCTTATCCCCTATTGACCCGAATTGCTGGACCATTCCTTTGCAAGATACAAGAACTATATACACTAACCACTCTGGTTTTCTTAGACTTGTGGTTATACAAAGGTATGTAAGACAGAAGATCACATTTCATCATATCATGCAGCCCTAGCATTGTTCTATATTGACACAAATCAGATGAACACATTTCACACTGTTAAGCTCTCTTATCACTGCAAGCTTATCTCAATACCACCTTCCTTCCCTCTAAAGGATGTAACTGTGCAAAAACAACATTTTTATTCCCACAACCTTGATCCCCTTACCCTGAAATCCTTATTCCCCTTAAACCTAACAACTCTAACCACAACCCTAACCCTTATTATCAACCCCCTAACACTAATGACACTGGCCTTAATCCAAACCCCAAACTGCCTCTAACCCCAGACAACCAACAACGAAACACACAGACACAAAGATGGAAACTACAAAAAAGGCAAAACCCTGGATACAGGCCCCAAATCACAAACACGCGACCAAAACGCTACAGAAAAGGCCCAGACGCAGGCCCCAAATGCTACAGCTAGGCCTCAAAGGTCAAGATGCATCCCAAGGAAAAAAAGCAGACCCCAAACATTACAGAAAAGCCCTCACACCCAGGCTGCAGAAGTCTACAAGCAGGCCCCAAACTGCCAACAGAAGCAGGCACCAACCACACCCAGATGTAGACCCCAGCTGCCCACAAGAAACTCCTACCCCCACACCCCCTCCCAAGAACACAGGCCCCAGACCCGGGCCCCACCCCCCCCAGACACAGGTCTCAAAGGTGTACAAGCAGCTCACAACCTCCCCCTTCAGAGACAGGTCCCAACCCCCCGCCCCCCTCCCCCCCCCAAGACATGGGACGCAGAGGTGTACAACCAACTACCAACTCCCTCCCCCTCAAAGGGAGGCCTCAAAGACCCCCAAATGGAGGCCCCTAGAGTGTACAAGCACCTCCCAACTCCCCCAGGCACAGGCACCCACCCCCCCAAAACACAGGCCACAAAGGTGTACAAACAGCCCAGACCCCCCTCCGAGACCCAGGCCCCTAAAGTGTACAAGCAGCTCCCAACCACCCACAGATGCAGGCCCCAACCCCTCTCAAAAGGGAGGCACCTAGAATGCATGAGCAGCTCCCAACCCCCCTGAACATAGGTCCAGAAGTGTACAAGCAGCTCCCAACCCCCATAAAATAAAGGCCCAAAAAGTGTACAAGTAGCTCTCGCCCCCCAGAGACAGGCCCCAAAGGTGTACAAACAGCCCCAACCCTCCCTCAAGATGCAGGCCCCTACAGTGTACAAGCAGTTCCCAACCACCCCCAGATGCAGGCCCCAAAGGTGTACAAGCAGCTCCCACCCCTCCCCCAGATGCAGGCCCCAAGCCCCCCCCAAAACCAGGCCCCTACAGTATACAACCAGCACCCAACCCCCTACCCCCGATGCCAGCCCCAAAGGTGTAGAAGCAGCTCCAAACCTCCCCCTCAACCCAGGCTCCAACAGTGTACAAGCAGCTCCCCCCCCCCCCCCCCCCACCTCAGACCCTCAGCAGATTTTGAGCAATGCCTACCACAGCACCACTAAAACAGAGGGGAAACACTTCAGAGACTTGCCTTAGGGGTGTGATAAATGAGTAGGGGTTTGTTCATTGTCCTTGAGAATTTAAAGAATCTACTGAGGAGATAAGGTTTCACAACTCACAGCATTGTAACATGGGGACAAATGGGGAAGGGGGGTTGGGTGAACATCCTTGTTAAAACAAAGATTTTGTAAGATACCACCCACCCACCGCAAGACATCCTGTTTTGCCCCCACTGGAACACAAGCACAACGCATGATCACCGGAGGAAGAATAACGACCCCCAACAACAGACTGCGCAGTCTCAGGACAGGTCTTGACAAGTCGACAAGTCAACAGGTCTCGACAAGTCGACCAATCGACAAGTCTCGACAAGTCGACAGGTCTCAACAAGTCTCAACAAGCCGGAACTTCAATGCTGTAAAACAGCGACACTGGAAAGGGGAAGTTGCGTGCTGTGGTGGAGTGGAGACTCCCCAGCCGCCCAGCGCTGTTTTGCTTGTGTCTGCTTACTTGATTAATAAAATAATTTCAATAGACCAGTAAATTGTGTGGTCTAACTTACAACAATTTGGTGCTGTGACTCGGATGAAGGCAATCTGATTGAAAGAGCTTTGGAGGGGGCGCCCCGCTGATTTCAGCAGCCTTCCGTAGAACTACTTTCATTCAAATCCTTCACCGACAAACCCAAAATTAGACACAAGCAAATAAAACTGGTAAACCCCAGGCAACCTTTGTGCATGAAGCCCGAACGAAGACCCACAGGGTGGGTAAGTATAGGCCGGTGATCCGTTCGGTTGGGGTTGGGTATCCTGGAACACAACAAACGAGACGTCCAATTGCGGACGAAGCGAGTGTGGACCCCTCAGTAGTGCGTTTCCCACATCCTGCGAGGGACTGGGCCATGAAAAGGGGGAAGCGATCCATGCGTGTATGTGTGAAGGTGTTCTGGAAGATGGGACAGAAGAAGAGTAAGCCTTCTGGTCCCATGGGTGGGGTAACATCTGATGTTAGGTTACCCCGGGATTAATGATTAAAAATTGGCAGGATTCCCCTTTTAGGCGGGGAAGGAATAAAGTAAAAATGATACATTATTGTGTTGAAGTTTGGGGTGGTAAACAGATTCGAGGAGACCACCTTTACTGGCCTGTATTTGGGTCTTTTGAAGATTGGGTTTGTCAGGCCTAAATATTTATGTAAACTCAAAGGAACCCTTTAGTCTGGAAGAAAGTGAGTATGCGCACCTCTGGATAAATTCAGATACGAGGATGCATCTATATCCTCTAAAAGAAAAAGGAGGGCAGGATAAAAAGAGAAAGGACTTGGAAGTCCCTACACCACCCCCGCCCTATATTCCACCGCCCGCATCAACGGCTCCGTCCTTAATGGACTCCACGAATTAGCTAACCCAGGCGAATTGGAATCATATCATGAAACACAGGGGCCGGTAACCAGAAGCAGGGCAAGAAATCAGAAATCTGCTTTAAGGGAGGGATTATATCCCCTACGAGAAATAGCGATGGGGGGACCCCAGCCAGGAATGGAATATGTGGCCATTCCCATTAACTCCGGGGATGTCCGAGATTTTAAGAAAAGGACAGGAGGAGGGTAAGTGAGCTTTAATGGCAACTGGCATAATGTTTGCAGCTGCTGAGGAATAATTCTAACTGGAATAATAACTGTACATTGTATATTGTATATATAAAAGCCTGGGCATTTTTGTTAAAGTATTCTTTTATACATATGTTAATATGTAAATATGAAAATATAAGAACTGCCATTGAGGTGTATATCTAAGGGAACAAAATTTGCCCAGGCATATTATCGGCTCATCAGGTTTAAATGTCCTCAGTATAATTGTCAACAGGCAGTTAATTTACAGTGGTCTGATTTTACTTGTGTATCTATATATTGTGGATTTTGGAGGGATTGGGATTGACTAGTAAAGAGCTTCTAGGAAAACAGTGGAATATTAACCACTGTAGATTACAATAGGAAAGTTCAAAGCAAAGAAATCCGGAGGAAAAGCCCTCTAGGATGTATACTAACACATTGGAGGGATATAGTGGGGTGAGAGGGTACAAAAAGTAAAGAACTCTTATCAAATATTGTAATCAATGGTGGTCACTTTATAAACTAGAGGATGGAGCGGAGTGGCCCCTAAATGGAACTATTAATTATAACACCATATTACAGTCAATGTTGTTTTTGTGGAAAGAAGGAAAATGGGATGAAATATGGTATATTGATTGATATGTTGTTTCAGTATCTTGGAGGGAAAAGGTATGGAATTAAGTTGGACTCTGACTGAGCCTTTGGTGCTGGTATTAGAAAAGTACAGGCTGGAGAAAGATAAAGGAAGTGTTAAAAGGGTTGCTGAAGGTGTTAAAGGTGTGGTATGTAGCATTTGACAGAGCTGTCTGAAGTTGAATGAGCAGGGAAAGGTGATGTAGGCATTATCTAAGTAACAGTCTAGAAGTTTTGGTATATTTGCATATTTGCTGTGGTGTTTGTTCAGTTTCCCAAGCATCAGGGAGGGGGACGGTGGGGGAACGGCCTGCTCCACCAGGGGCCTCTCCAGCAGCCGGCCGGAGAGGGGCTTCGGCTCCAGCGCCTGGAGCGCCTCCTCCCCCTCCTTCTGCACTGACTTTGGTGCCTGCGGGGGTTGTTTCTCGCTCTCCCACCTGCTGTTGAGCAGCAGGTTTTTGTTTGTTTCTTTGTTTGTTTGTTTTCATGGATGTGCTCTCACAGAGGCACGGACTGTATTGCTCATGGCTTGGCTCTGGGCAGCAGTGGGCCCCTTTGGGGCCAGATGAAATTGCCCCTTACCTACCACAGGAAGGTTTCTGGGTTTTTCTCATGGGGGCTGCCACTGCAGTTTCCCACTCCCACACCCCTCACACCCCCTGAACCCTGCCATCAAACCCAATACACTGGGGCAGTTAAGTCATTACTGACTTGTAAAGCATCAGGGATTAAATTAACTAATGAAACCCTAAATGTGATGGGGGTAGAAGGTACTGGGATAACAGTGCCACTTTTGGGGAATACTAAGCTGAGACCAGGGGATAAAATGATCACTGGGCAATTATTGTATGTATCCAAGGCGGATACTAACTTGTTAGGAAGGGATTTGATGATTAAATTGGGCATTCAAATAGTAAATTGTTAGACTGGAATAACAGTGTTATGAATGGAGTGCTCTCTGGCCCTGAGAGCAAACATACATGTATATTCACCTCTGACTGGAAAGACCCTGAAATGGGGGCAGAAGCAACAATATAGGTGGACAATTTTACCTCAGGGGTTTACAGGGCCACCTATCTATTTGGGTAAATTCTAAAAAAAGATTTTGGAGCAATTACAACCTCCCAAGAAGGTATTAATGTTACAAATATGTGGATCATTTTAAGGAAAATCGATACTCCCTGATGGGAGAGAAATGCTGAATAAAGTGATAATGAGGCAAATATTAACTGTTTTACATCAGAAGAGTCATTGGGAGGTGCAAGCAATGTGTGATGTTGTTCTAAGAAAGCATGTCTGTGTAGGAATATATACTTTAGGGAAGCATACATGCAGAGGATGTACTATATGTCAAAGGGTAAATAAAAAGGTCTTCTGTAACCTGTCTAGAGGGGGACGGGAGTCAGGGCTTTGACCTTTCCAAAGTATACAGGTAGACTTTACTGAGTTACTTGTTTGTCCTAATTAACCATGTGACTGAATGGGTGTAAAGCTTTACTGCAAGGATTAAAGCAGGCCTTAGAGATTGAGTGGGATTTTCACAGCCCCTGGCATCCCTCCTCTTCTGGGCAGGTAGAGCGAATGAATGGTGAAATTAAGAAACAACTAACAAAACTTATGCTGGAAACTAAGGCTTCTTGGGTAAAGTGCTTACCCCTTGCACTGTTAAACATATGGATGCAGCCCAGAACTGATGTAGGAATTTCTCCTTTTGAAATGCTATATGGTATGCCCTATGATTTGGAATTGCCACTTGATCACCCTCAATTCTAATTAAGACTTGGAAAGAGACTTTTTTTTTAACACCACGATGGGGAAGGCCCCTATGTTGTTTTGCTTACTACAGAAACAGTCGTCCGCACTGCGGAGAAAGGATGGACACATGCCAGCCATGTTAAAGGACCCATCTGTGACGAGAGGTGGGAGATCGCTCCAGGAAACAAAGACCTGTAGCTCACATTGCGACGAACTCGATAGGTGCCGTGGGTTAAGGTAGAGGCTCTCCCCTGAAGAACACTACTGCTGCCGAGAAGAACTAAAACCTCGTAGTTGGCTGCAACCCAACTGACGAGTGAGGCAGAGGAGTGAATAAGTGGGGAAAGAAATGGGCCTCAGCCATTCCTATCGGTATTTGGGGGTTCTAGCAGTGATTTCATCCTGCATAGCGACTCAACACCACCCCCACCAACCTTTTAAATGGACTTTAAGTTGATTCGAAGATCAACAGGTTATTGCAACCCAGATAACATTGGGGGGGCCAAGCTTTACTTCTACACTATGTCAGCTGATCTTGAGGCCCCGATGCTGGGAATATATGGGATTTTATTTCTGCCCAAGTTCTAACCCGGGAAAGGGGTACTGTAAATGCCTGAACGTGTATTATTGTGCATACCGGGGGTGTGAAACCATTGCTACAGACTGGACACTCGGGGCTGGTCAGGATAAATTCTTACAAGTGGAATATGGGCTGCAAGGTTGTAACCAACAATTGGATCCTTGTTACAGGTGGCAAGGGCATGGTGTAGGGTATACAGGAACCTTCCACGGAAATAAAGAAATATGCAAGGTTCTATACATAAATATAACAAACTTGGACGGTACTAGCTGGGTACTAGGAAAAATGTCAGATTTTACGAACACGGAACAGATAGGGGAGGACTCATACTAATAAAGAAGGAAAAACCCGAGACTTCCAAGGTAGTCGGGCCTAATAAAGAGTTAATAGGGGAAGGTTTGGTTGTCCAGACTGTAAAGATACCTGGGACTGCCCAACCTACTACAGTGTTTTCTAATAAGTTGACAGAGTTATCCTTTCCCACACTGCTTCCAAGCATTGTGAAAAAAGAAAGGGGTTTTACCCGAGGAGATAACTGAAGGGTGCTGTCTATGTGTAAGTGTTAAGCCCCCATATTCAAATTCTTCCAAGTGCAGTTGGGGTCAGGAAATCGGGATAACTTTGACCCAAGTTATGGGAAAAGGTAGATGTATCGCCACAGTTCCAAGAGATAAAAATGATCTGTGCCATGCCACTGAAAAAAAAAAAAATGTACCAAACACACAAATGGCTAATTCCTGCAAATAACACTAGGTGGGTATGTTCATTGTTGGGAGTCACTCCTTGCCTATCTTTAAAATTGTTTAACACATCTCATGATTTTTGTGTACAGGTGGTCATTATACCAAGGATTCTATACCACACTTATGTATACCCATCACACAGTGGCTGAATACCATCTGGTAAAGATCATACTGGAGTGGTAAGAGACACAATGACTAAATTGTGGGAAGGATTAGAAAAACGCAAAAGGGAAAATGAGGCTCGTCAGAATTGGTATGAATCCTGGTTTAATTACTCACCTTGGCTTACTACCCTGCTAGCAACCATAGCAGGGCCCCCTTGTTGTTACTTATATTAACACTGACTTTTGGACCATGTATATTCAATCAAGTAATCACAATTGTGAAAAGTCGATTAGAAGCTGCTTATCTTATGCTTGTGCGTGCTAAGTATGAATCTCTTGAG